TTTTGGTGTCATCCTGGCCATTCCCTGCGGAGGACCTCCAAGAACTTCAGCAAATTTCTACTTCCCTCCTTGTAATTCTTGATATTTATTCATATAGTCAGGACTTTAGATGCACATAATTGCTCTTCGATTACTACGTTCTGTTTGTCCCCTTTCAGCAACATCTCTGGCAGTTTAGTTTCAATTCTTTCACTTCTTAATTCTGTGACTTGGTGGGTCTTCCATGCGCGCCACTCTTAGGGTCATCCATTGGATTCACTTCTCAGTCATCCGCGGTTTATCTTCGAGTTGTTTTCTCAGGAACGGCATGGGGTGTGGATTCCGTATTTGAGAATCTCTGTTCCACTTGGCTGGGAGGCAGATCTCTGCTCACAGGCTTTCCCCTCAGGGATCTGAGTTTGCTGCTACCTGGATTAGGCAGAATAATGTCCCCACCACAACTAAAAGATGTCCATGTCCTAGTCCCCAGAATCTGTCTGTTAGGTTATATGGCAAAAGGGATTGTATGGGTTCATTTCTGTTGCTAATAACAGAATGTCTGAAACTGAGTAATTCATAGAGAAAATAAACATTATTTCTTATGGTTTTGGAGGCTGGGAAGTACAAGGTCCAGGGGTCACATCTGGTGAGGGCCTTCTGGTGGTGACTCTACAGTAGTGCAGGGGTCACAGGGCAAGAATGGGCTGAACAGGAAAGAACTAACTTTCTCACTCGCTCTCCTTACAAAATCATCAGAACCACATTATTACTCCATGAACGGATCAACCTACCCACGAGGGCACAGTCCCTACAATCCAGTCACCCCTTAGGGGCCCCACCTTTGAATCACCATAATTGGATTTACCCGCCTCCCAGCACCCTCACAATGAGGGTCAAGCTTCCAATACATGAACTTTGGGGGGACACAGTAAACCAACAGCAGCAATTAAGGTTGAAGATGCAGTAAAGGCTGCTAATCAGCTGGCCTGGACATGGGGACATTATCCTGGATCACCTGGGTGGGCCCAGTGTCATCACAGACACTGTGATAAGTGGAAGGAAGAGGGATGCAGAAGAGCAAGAGAGTCAGTGATTCGTTGGAGACCCAACCCGCCATCGCTGGCTTTGGAGCAGGAGGAAGGGGCCACAAACTCTCAAATACAGGTCCCCTCCAGAAGCTGCAAGAGGCCCGGGCACCGACTCTCCCTTTCTGTGGTCCAGAAAGGGCCACAGTCCTGCCGGCAGCTTGATTTCAGCTCAATGAACCCCATGTTGGACTTCTGACCCCCAGAACTGTAAGATAATAAATTGGTGTTGTCTTAAGCCATGAAATTTGTAGAAATCTATTACAGCAGCAACAGGAAAGCAATCCTCTGTGCTGTTGTCGCCAGCTTGCATCCTTGCAGGGAAGCCATGCACCAGCTGACCTTTGTCCCCTGGGAGGTGGCCTGCCCCGGCTGCTCATCCTGGCGGGAATTTTGCGTCAGCCTTGTCACCAAGAGGCTTTAGCAGTCTATGCGCTTGTCACCTACAATCCAGTAACCCCTTCTAAACTGAACATCCAGCTCTTTGGTTGTTTCTTTCTTCTGGTTGCAAGAGTTTTCACGTATTCTTAGGGTGATTACTGCTTCTGTGGATGGTCACAAACTCACTCACACCCAAGCAAGCCGTGCAAAGGAAGTATCGTTCTTTAATTTCCTATCTTATCTCACCTCTCTGTCCTCTGGGCTGAAGCACCAAAAAAGCTGAGGCTTGGTGGCTTCTGATCTCCCCGACTCTGCTCACTTACCCACTCTGTTCCCGCTCAGCCTTCTCTCCAGAGCCCCCCTCCACTACCCTCTGCTTTTGCCCAGGCCAGCAGGGCCCTCATGGTGACAAAGTCTCCTGGCCCTTCTTCCCTTAGATATCTGGTTTGGATCCACATTAATGAAGTTTTCCTTTCTTATTACATTAAAATCCATTCGTCTGTCTTGCGTTTGGAGTGGACCTTTTACCCATGGGTGATTTTTGAAACACCATGCATTGGTCATTTGGAAATACTGGTTCACTGAGTTACGCTGTCTTTCTAAATGTTGACACGTTTCATCAAGCGTGACAAAAGAAAATCACAACCATTTCTATCACCACTGGTCTCATCAGAAGTCTCTACATGTTGGAAACTGTCAGGCTCACAGCTGTGGATATCTTTTCCAAAATTCTACTTTGTGCCCAAAAGCTTTAGTTTTCTCTCTGGCAATAAACACTGTCACTTTTTTTCCTTGAAGTGACAGGCTCAATTTGTTTATTTCTGAGAAAATATCTGCCAAACACTCAAGTCAGAACAGTTTATCTCTCAGCTGTTCTTTCAAGTGAAAGTGATATTTCATGAGAAAAGTTTCTAGTTCAGGTCACAATTCAAACTGTTGCCCAATGCTTTCATGGAAACACCTGTCATACTTGGAGACACCGTGGAAGTGATCCCGTGCTCCTCCCATCTCGTCACACAGAGGCTAAAATGATGTGCACTCGGGGGTCACGCTTCAAAAAGATTAATGACCTTGACTGTTTCGTCAAGGTTATGCTTAAATAAAACCTTTTTCCTTCCTTCTGTTTGGTGGTGCAGGACACACAACTGCCAGGACTGTCTGTCCCACTGCCTCGATTCCTGCTAAAGCCTGGCACTTTCTCACTACGGCCTTTGCACCACTGGTGCCCACGTCGAAGGTCAAAAAGAAGGCAAATGACATTATTACTACCATAATGACACTAATTAATACCAATACTAATAATAATGACGACGGTGATACTACCAATTAATAGCTTCCACCTTGTGAACTCCCTTAAAGGGTCTTAGGCACCTGCAGAGGTCCCCAGACCACACTTCGAGAACGACTTTCCTAAATCGGTGGACTGAATATTCTGCAGCAGGAAATCTGCTCACCTTTCCCTTCATCGTCAGTTGCGAGTCCTTTGCCGTCTTCATTTTAACCAGCTCTTCCCCGCCCACCGGCACAGCCTGTGGTTTTCCATCGCAGCCTGGTTTCCTCCTGTATCCCCTGCTCCTCTCTCGCTGAAACTATTCCTTCTCACATGTCATTTAGCGCTCCAAGCAGACCCGTCCGAGTCTTCTGTTTCTGATAGCAAACCACCTTCAGGGGGTCTTCTGTTCCTGAGGGTAACTTTAGCCTGTGGCCGCCTGTTGGGCTCTTGCCCGCTGATGCACTGCAGTGAGGTGACATCTGGGCAGCTCAGTGTTTGCGATATGCAGAGCGTGTGGGTGGCTCTGGCCCCGCTCACCCCCTCCTGATCTGAAGCTCCAGGTCTGGCTGATGTGCCCAGCAGCTGGCAGGCATCGTCTGGCCTCCCCAAATGGGGTCTGCTCTGTCCTCCCTTTCTGTTTTCTGGCTATGAAGAAGGGAAGTATGTTTGAAAGAATCTGAAGCTAAGTAAAATTTCCCTTCCCTCCAAATTCAGCACCTGAAATATATCAGTCTCTAGCAGCTGCCCCAGGACTCTCCTGGGCTCTTATTTGAGGGGACTTCACATGCTGGCATTCGGTGTGCCTCCCCACATCCTTGTCTTTCTTCCCACTGGGCTGGGCCTTGGGGGTATAGTTCTCACTGGGGAGAGCCTGGACAAGGCCCTGCCAGAGAAGGGGTGGCCTCTGGTTGATGCAGATACAGCGAAGTGGGGATGGAGGAGACTGGGCTCTTCCCTCCAGGCTCAGGTGCCTTGTGCTTCTGTGTTTGGGGCAAAGATTTTTCCTCATCGATGCAACTTTATCTGCATTGTAGTCAGTGAGCAATCACATTCCCCTAGATTCCTACAGCTCCTTGGCCATTTTTTTCTTGGTTTCTGAAGCTATGGCAAGAGCCTTATTTTTGTGTCTGTCCTTGCAAGTATTTTAGTGAGTAGTTGGGAAAGGGGAACCGTGAAGCTTGGCCAACGCCACTTTAAGCCAGAGGTAGCCCCCAGCACCTCTCAGGACTGCCTGTGTCATCTGCCTCACGACACTGAGGACGTTCCCTGGTCACTCAGAAGAGATCTGGGCACTTCCGAGTTCTCAGAAGACAATGGCATCTAGTGTCTCTCTAATTTTTATCACTAAGATTGGATTAACTTCATGTCATCTAAAACTAAAAACACTGCATTTGGCAGACATTCTGTGAAATCCAGAACAAAAGGAATGTGCTCATTATTATCCGGGGGTACGTTTTCCAGCCAGTTCAACTTGGCAGGTTCACCAGGAAGCCCGGTTATTGAAAAGTGGACTGTCTAGAACTGTGGTTTTCCTGAAACTTCCGGGTGCTGGGTAACTCCTGCTCTGGAGATTCTCCAAGCCAAGCCATTTCAGTTGTTGGGAACACACCTGGGGAGTGCTGGAACAGACCCAAAACTGCCTGCTGAGGAAATATCACCTGACTTTGCCCTCGGGCTCTGTGACCCTGCTGAGGAGGGTGCAGTGACCTGTAATGCAAACATTGGTGCAATTGTAAACAGCCACAGAAATGCCTAAATGAAATGCCATTTCTGTGAAAATAATATGTTTCAATTCTAACCTACCAAAATTGCACGTGTCTGAACCCAACCTGTTGATCTTCCCCTAGGCAGAGCATAGGGGAGTGGCGTGGGCTCTGCACATGGTAGGGTGCCTGGGATGCCTTTGCCAAGCTTGGGTCACTGTTTTCTGCATGTGAGAGTGTTCCCCCGTGTGTGCGCACACACGTGCACATTTCAAGCCTGCTGCAGGAACAAGATGCCCAACATGTCTCTCATTTCTAATGTTTTCCTAAGGGAGCTGAAGGGCAAGATTAAGAAAGAAAGTTCCAAGAGGGAGCTGCTTTCTGACACAGCCCATCTGAACGAGACCCACTGTGCCCACTGCCTGCAGCCCTACCGGCTCCTCATCAACAGCAGAAAGCAGTGCCTGGACTGCGGCCTCTTCACCTGCAAAAGCTGCAGCCGTGTCCACCCAGAGGAGCAGGGCTGGCTCTGTGACCCCTGCCGCCTGGCCAGGTGAGCCAGGGCCCTGAGGTCAAGTGAGCCTGATGATATCTGGGCCTGGCATGTCCCTTCGGTGGCACTAGCTGAAGACGGGTGTGTGTGTGCATGGTGTTTGCACATGCCTGTGAGCAGCACACGGCAGTGCCACAGGCCTGTGCTCATCTCTCTGCAGAGTCGTGAAGATCGGCTCACTGGAGTGGTACCACGAGCACGTGAGGGCCCGCTTCAAGCGATTCGGGAGTGCCAAAGTGATCCGGTCCCTCTATGGGCGGCTGCAGGGTGGAGGTAAGGAGAGGACAGTGGGAAGGGATCTGTTTGTTCCCAGGAGTGTTTTGATGCTTCAGGACCAAGCAGATTCCTTTGGAGTGGGTGTACGCACGCATGCCCCTCTGTCAATTCCCATTTCTGGTGTCTTACGTGAGGTTGGCTGCTTTTTACGTGAGGTGCAAACCTCTGCTCCCTGGTGCTGGCCTGGTCTGGCCTCGTCGGAAGTTCCTTGTGCTGTCGACATCACCACCATGTGAAAGCATGTTTTTTTCAGAGCTTCATAGCAAGTTGAGGGCTCATAGCAACAGTTCTCAAACTTGGCTGCTGACAGAAACTCTAGGGTGCTTGTTAATCCTACATGTTCTCCAGGCCCTTCTTCCCTGGGATGTCTGGTTTGGATCCTAAACTCTCTTTTCAACAAACCATCCACGTGACTCTGATTATTATCAAAACTTAGAGAAATCTGTTGTAATTCAAGTGTTTGTTTTAATGTTTTAGATCCAAGTATCTATTTCATAATGAA